TCTCCGGTGCAGATCAAGAGATACGACAACCTGTCCTTCACCATCTTCCTCTGGGTCTCATACTCACCCTTCTTCCCGCCGCCCAGCTCCTCCTCCTCTCTGGCGATGGCTCTCTCCAGCAGGCTGCGGCACTGCATCAGAGCTGAGTGGAGACGCCAGAGCTTGTCCCTGGTGTCCAGCTGCGAGGAAGGAGGAGCGACGGACACCAGGCGACCATCAACCAAAACATCAGCAGTGAAACTCTCCTTCTCTCTCTAGGGGGGAGGAAGACAACAGGGTGGGGGGAAATTAAAAACAGAAGGGAGATTTTTGGCAGGGATAGATACTGTAAAAGGGAAGAAAAGAGGGAGTTAGGAAGTCAAGTGCATAGTGGAAGATTGAATAAGTACTAACATCACACTGACGTCATTTTTGACAGCGCTTTATTGAGCATAATTGTTGAGGAGGAAACAGGGATTTACTTCTGATGCAATAGGAATTCATCCAGCCAAAGTCTTTTTGCCTCAAGGACAATATAGCAAACTCAGGAAAGCATGTTTCTTTAACAATGAGTGTAGGCTCTGCCCAGTTCCAAGTATATAATTAAGACAGAAGTAAACGTTTTAAACAAGGTGCAGTCAGAAGTAAACTTTTTAAACAAGGTGCAAGTTAAAAATAACACTGAGGCAAAGAAAAAAACAGAACTGCCTGTAAAAGTCATCATCTTAATTACAACATCTTCAAAAACACATTAAAGGGCTTGTTCAACATTTTGGGAAATACACATTTTGATGGGAGTGGTATCAATCTTCTTATCTCTCTCTGCAAGCAGACAAATAGGCCTTTTGCAAAAATACCAAACCATTCACTTTACATTAATAGAGCTGCAATAGTTAGTCAACCAGTTTAATAATTGATGAATAATGTAATTCTTTTAAGCAATAATGTCATAAAATGATGATTATATTACTTTTTACAGCATATTCATTTCCATTTGGGTTTTGAACTAACTAAACAAGATTTTAAAGACTTTAAGTAAATGGGACAACATTGTTTTAACTATTTTCTGAAATGTACGGTACATCCACATTTGACAGACAGCATATAACAAGATAGCGTTGCTATACTCTCAGAGCTTACTTATGATCGGGCTGATTATGTTGACTAGCCACTTCTCAGAGATGACTGTAGCTGGCATCGACTCTGGTACTTAAGTGAGTTGTGAATCCCAGAGGCCTCCTTGTGACATTTTACTGAGGCGCTAATGTTGAACCCTGCTTGCAAGTTAGTACCAGTGTGACAGATTGGCCTAATGTGACCTGTGCGCTTCGAGAGTCTGGGGAATGTTTTACTGCTTCTGTGTTAATGTTGACTGCTCAGACTGAAGAGGCAATGTCATGAGGGCAGTTATGGATACCCCGGGATGAAATACTGTAGTAAGAGACAATATTGTCATAGATCACTGTAAATTATGGTGATCAGGTAAATTATTTAGGGGAGGACAATGGGATGTCGCAAAAGTGTGTTTTTTCTTCCCCCAATGAATAGGCAATAGATAGACAGCTGCAATGGATTCATGTGCCAAAAACTGCAATTTCTCACAGCCAAAGAGAAAAACCATAGAAGAGAAATGTACATAAATGATTGTATGACATGCTAAGACTTATCAAATCATGTCATGATGGGTTCACTGGAATGCATCTGTTGCTGGAGCTTAAGGGGGGGGGCGTCTTTTACATTAAAACTATGCCTGCAATGTCAGTGATGCAAACTGAGAATGAAAGAAGAAATGGAAGATAGATTAAAGAAAGGAAAAATCTTTGGAATTAAGTTATATGCCAGGCCGCTCCCTAGCTCCAAGCAACACTCATGAATAAAAGGATGAGGAAACCAGGAAGTTTTAAATTCTCGCACCTATAGTCAAAGAGACGCACGAGATAAAGGCTTCATGCCCAGGCATGGATGAGTTTGTGCCATAAAAACGCCCACCTCTGTCATTCCAACCGAGTTAAGCCCCCTCCACTCTTCATTCTTACCCCCTGCTGTCCTAGACATAAATTATTTGTCTTTCACACCCACACACATGCACAAACTCCCTTCCTCTTATCTAGTTTTTGCATGCATCCTTTTTAATCATTCTTTATCCATATACTTCTCCAAAAACAGTCAAATGCACACCAAAAGTAACAGGCACACTTGTCAGAGGACACACACAGAACATATATTAATTTTCCATTTAACCTTGGCCGACTTCTTTCTAAACAGTTTCTAACACACACACATACACGCACACACACACGCGCGCACACACCCACATACACACACACACACACACACACACACACACACACACACGAGCACACACACACGCAAGTAGGCAATGGAAACTTAGGGGGAGCCCTAAGTTTCCATTGCCTACTTGCGTGTGTGTGTGCTCGTGTGTGTGTGTGTGTGTGTGTGTGTGTGTGTGTGTGTATGTGGGTGTGTGCGCGCGTGTGNAGCGTTACGAGTGACGTCACCGCACCTGTCCAGGTGAAAGGCAGCGATCTCTGCGTTGTGTCTCTGGAGATCAACAAAGTAGAAGAAGTCTTCAGGAGTCTCCTCGTCCCTCTGCTGCCTGACACACACACACACACACACACACACACACACACACACACACACACAGACATACACACGTACACAAGCATTAACACTTTTTCAGAAGATTGTGCACACCCATGTTTAAGGTCAGACCTTTCAAGGAGTTGAACATTTTCAAAGGCATTTTTTTCACTTATATACATTTACAGATTTCCTGTCATGTTGCATTACTTGCATGTTTGCCTTTTTTTTTGCCTTATCTTTATACACTTTTTCAGATATGCTTAGATTGTCCAAATATGTTACACACACACACACACACATGCACGCACACTGACTATTCTCATTTCTTTATATTATGCAAGGGAAGAGAGGTTATAACAGTCCCTCTCAGTTTTGCTTCGCTTGGGGTTGTGATTTCCTGAGTTTCTCCTAGAAAAGGAAAACCTCAGCACAACAGTGGTCCGCACTGAGGAAGTTAGGAATACCTCCAAGTGGTCAAAAGCAGGAAGTAGGGAACCCCAACACCAAGGCTTAACAATACATATATTATATTTACATTACATATATTACAAATGTACTCTGCATTATGCACACACAAGCATAATGGTTTATTTTTAAAGAAGTCTAAACTAACTTTGTTGCACAGTGTTGAACTCAGAGTGTCACATAGCTTCTTTTCTTTTATCACAGAGCAGAACTCCCAAAGCGCATATTGTCCTCCCTTTGTCATCAGTCTGGCGAGATAAGGCTGATAAGAGATGGAGTCATGTTAGCACTTCACACGATAGAAGGAACAGAGGGAGGGCATGTTGAGCTGTGGAAGCACAGGGAAAACAACACTGACATAAGGAATACAAATCCGTTGGCCATTTGGAAAATCTGTAGTGGTGAACACTGTATCCTCAGGGCGTGTTATTGCAAACTAGATTTCAAAAGCTCTGGCAAAATGAATGTGTTATATGCTCTAATGTCATCCCGACCTATGTCATCATGCAGTGAGAAACTACCGGCTATTGATAGAAGGAGGAAACAACCTCCTGGCTTTCCGCTCTCTTGGTCTTTGCAGTTTTTTTCAACTTTACCCATGTTTTGACCTTTTGTCCTGTACATATCAATAAATGCATGAATAAGAAGTGTGCTTCAACCAGGAACATGACATTTAAATGTGTACATTATGTCAACAACACATTTAAAAAATATTTTTAAATCATTTTATTCCATCAAGCTGACATTGGCATCATTTTTGTTCCACTGTGGACAAGGTGCAGGTCATTCTAAGCCCTCCAGCCTTGGGGCAACTAACATGTGTACAGGTGTGTGTCTGTCCATCTGTGTGTGTCTGTGTGGGAGAGTGGGACATTGGGTCAACTCAAATGAGTGAGTGCGTTACCATGGTTGCTAGGCTTAGTAGCGTTACCTTTGTTGGCTGCCTCACCTATTTCCATCAAAGTCCAGGCAGTCTTGTGACGCACCAACACGCCCACACACTGCCTGTCTAACTAGAAATAGGTGCTTTTTTATTTAGTCTTTCTACTAACATGACCTTTAATCTGACAAAAGTAATTTGCTTTGTAGTGTGCTGTGATTGGCTGCCTCAGTGTTGTATGCAGCGTAGAGATTTGGGGATTTAAAATGCTGGGATTGTTCCGTTCTGAATGCTGGCAATGTGGGAAAATAAGAGAGTAAGAGGTTTATTCTCTGGAAGGCGATTTCTGATTGTTCCCTGTTCCTATTATAACCCTTAATGAAGCGGCACACACACCGAAACACACACACACAAAACAAGCTGCACCCACAAACTCTATAACACTCATGATAAAGAAGTTGAAAGTCCAACACCCTCTTGTGGTGAGTGTGCGTCAGGTTCACGTGCACGATAGATTAATGTGCACAGCTTTTGTCACAGCATGAAGTGGGGTCATATTTTACTCAGGATTCCTCATCTAGCTCAACTCCAACATGTCCAACTTACTGCTGACACACACACACATAAACACACACACATACACACACACACAATGAGCTTGTGACCCAGTCATACTCAGTGAACCTTGAGCTGGAGGTTTCAGGGTTTACAGCCCTTCATTCTCTCTGATAGGGGTCAGTGATCAGCAAGGGATCTGAGGAACTCAACAAAACAAGGTTGTAAAACCACTGATAGGGGAAGGTGCCCCTGTGGATTTATAGATGCTGTATTTTCCTCATTCTGTCCAATCGCATTATTTGCCTTTGGTTCGTTTTGTAAGCTAGTTAATCTTGCGTGTGATTGCGTCTGCATACTGATTACCTTTCAGATTCAACAAGCAGCTCAATTATTGTTGGTACAGTCATGTTGTAAAAGGTTCATTCTGAACACTACCAGGTTTTCTTTTATTCTTCCCTCTTGTGTTTACGTCTTGGATATAAGTTGTGGTTGATACAATTGACTGTAATTGATAAACCTGTTTCTCTTTGCCCTCTTCAGGCCCCAGATCTGATTGGATGGTTTTGTCAGAATGACAGCCGAAGATCCTGCTTCCTCGTCAACCATGAGCAACAACACTGCCCCCCCCAAACCCTCCCAGCCAGCCGGAGCCTCACACAACCCTCTCCATGGACAACTCAACGTCCCTGAGGGAGTTGCAGGTGCTCCCAATGAGGCTGCACTGGTCACCCTGATGGATCGCACCGGCTACACGATGGTCCAGGAAAACGGTCAGCGTAAATATGGCCCTCCTCCTGGTTGGAATGCTACATCTCCACCACGGGGGTGTGAAATCTTTGTGGGCAAGATCCCACGTGACGTTTATGAGGATGAGCTAGTCCCTGTGTTTGAGTCCGTAGGGCGTATCTATGAGATGCGGCTAATGATGGACTTTGACGGGAAGAACAGAGGGTACGCGTTTGTGATGTACACAGAGAAACACGAGGCCAAGCGTGCTGTGCGTGAGCTCAACAACTATGAAGTGCGGCCGGGGCGGCTGCTGGGGGTCTGCTCCTCCGTGGACAACTGCCGTCTTTTCATTGGTGGCATCCCAAAGACCAAAAAGCGTGAGGAGATCCTGGAGGAGGTCTCCAAAGTGACAGAAGGGGTGCTGGACGTGATAGTTTATGCCAGCGCTGCAGACAAGATGAAGAACAGGGGCTTTGCTTTTGTAGAGTACGAGTCACACCGTGCAGCCGCCATGGCTCGCAGGAAGTTGATGCCTGGGCGTATTCAGCTCTGGGGCCACCAGATCGCAGTCGACTGGGCCGAGCCGGAGATCGATGTGGACGAAGACGTAATGGAGACAGTGAAGATCCTTTACGTCAGGAATCTCATGATGGAAACCAGCGAGGAGACAATCAGACAGGTGGGACTTCAGTTTAGGGATTTCTCGATGCTGGGTTTTATTGGGTAAAGAACATACATTACAGGAAATATACTACTAATAGAAAACATTAACCAATCACTCATTGTCTCTGTCAATCAGGTGTTCAACCAGTTCAATGCTGGATGCGTTGAAAGAGTGAAGAAAATCCGTGACTACGCCTTCGTCCACTTTACCTCCAGAGACGATGCTGTCGTGGCCATGGACCACCTCAATGGCACAGAGGTGGAGGGGTCCTGCATCGAGGTGACTCTCGCCAAGCCTGTTGATAAAGAGCAGTACTCTCGCCAGAAAGCCTCCAAGGGAGCTCCAGCCACTCCAGAGCCGGCTCCACAGAACTACGTCTACCAGTGTGATCCCTACACATTGGCCTACTACGGTTACCCATACAACACCCTCATTGGACCCAACAGAGACTACTTTGTTAAAGGTTAGAATGAATTGCTTTTTTGTATCAGTAGTGATCATTTGCAAAAGCCACTTAGTTTTTCTGAAAGCCATCTTTGTATGTTAAAGTTGGTGGCAGAAACTCTGTGGACCAATGCCCTGCTAAAGATCTCATGATGACATCCAAGAGATGCTATTGTAGGATCAATGACAAACACACCTTTATAAATTAGCTATGATTTGTAAATTATCATGATGACTAAGATAATAGTGATTTTATCTTTGATGACAAGAATTTATTTGATGAAAGTTTTAAAATCTTAACTTGATAAGGGTTTGTGACTTGTTGTTAATAAGACAAAGACAAAATAAGGTGATGGGCCAATGATGCTAATCCCATTATTGTTGATGAATGATTATAAATGGTATTTGGGTGGCAGCAGGAAAATCTATTCGACTTTCAACAATCATTGTGTTTTGGTTTTCTCTCCAAAGGATCCCCAATGATACAGAACAATGGTAATCTCTCTCATCCTTATTCCTACTTATCCCTTCAATGAACAATGAACTTTCTTGCCATGTGACTATATGTTTTCTAACACCATTCTTTTCCCGCTGTGCTGTCAACTCCCATTTCATGCTGGGTTACTGCAGAGATTTCAATAAAGCTAAGAACATTGACAAAACATTTGACAGTGTCATGAACTTAAGAGTCAGATCACTGCTGCGGAAACACGCAAAGTTACCCTAAACTCAAACAGATGTTGTTTACATTTCCGATAGCAACTGCACTTCTTGAGCAGATATTTAACTTAAATAAGAGCTCTTCTTGCTGAAGCAGTCCTTATATTTTGGGAGGGATTCTCAAAGAAGTTCTGAACCCATCATAAAATATTGTTGCGCTTCAAAAATTCAGTACAAGTTGCCCTTACTGCCCAAGTCCTAAACCACAACCCCTGTCAACGTATTACTTTAATTGTATTTTAAGCAGGTACTGTGCGAGGTCGTGGTCGTGCTGCTTCAGGTAACCGTACCCCTGGGCCACGGGGGTCATACCTGGGAGGTTACTCTGCTGGTCGTGGCATCTACAGCCGCTACCATGAGGGCAAAGCCAAGCTCGACAAGCCCTATGAGCTGATGCCCAGTCTGGAGCTTGCTGCCTCTGTCAACTCCATTGGCATGAAACCTGGCACAAGTCAGTGAGATAGATATATACATCCTTGCCCATCTCAAACGCCTTTATTAAACCTTCCAGCTCGTAATTTCCTGTCTCTCTCTCCTGTGTGGTTTGAGGAACACTAAGTAAATCACTTGATCATGGTTGTTGCTGGATGGTCAGGCGCAAAAGGACTTCCTTTCTTTTTACCCTTAAGAACTACGACACTAAATATCTGTCCTTTCCAGCATGACCAGAAAGTAACTGCTATGATTTGTTCCTCATTCTGTCCTTTTTTCCTCTCAAATTTTTCTTACCTGGTGTTCAGACCAAAAGCAGCACTGTGTTAGAATAACACAAGGCGCTACGTCGTTGGGGGTGTACTGTTGAGACCATGAAATATCAAGCTATCAGAGGCTAAAACCCAGCCCCCTGTTTTTTGATTGGCCAACGCAGAATTCATGGCATTTTGTCGAGGCAAAAGTTGATTTATGTGCAGGATGAGACAATATTTATTGTCTTAAAGCGCTTTTGACGCCCCCAATGCAGTGATGGAATTGAACTGAATGGGAACGTTTTCTAATGCAGTGCTGTTGTCTGTCTGAACATGGCCGACGTATGTGGTGAACAACCCAATCTCCTTTAACACATGCAACTCAACTCCAGTTTTTTACTGAAAAGTGGCTGACCGTGTCTTGAATGTAAAACAAAGATTTATCCCAAAAACTGTTGAGGTCAAATTCCCAATTTGACCTCAACAAGTTAAGAAAATGTCTCTGTAGGAGCAGCTGTTTCAGGCTTTGTTGGCACTATGACACTTACATTCAAGAACGGAGTTGAGATGTGAATCCAAATGAACAAACAAAAATTACCTTTCTCAACTTTTCAATCACGTCTACTATTTTCACTTGAAGGATAATACCAGTGTCCTCCACTGCTTATACATTAAGCCTACATGATCAGCATCAGCATCGTTTAGTTTTTTAAATGTGTGGTCTACAGTCTATATTAGGCGGAAATGAATTGCTGTCAAGTGGTTTTCTGTTAGATGGCTTCTTTTTAAAGGTTTGTTTCCTGGTTCCTTTTTTCTTTCCTGAAGGTAAGCAGAAGGAAATGCATATTTGTATCAATGAGGGAGAAGCTACCCAACTCATATAAGGCTAAAACAGGATCAACTACATTCAAAATTGAAAGTAGAATATTAAAATGTAGAAACTTCAATGATAGAAGTGCAATGTTAAAATTAACACAATGGTATTATTATTTCATCTTCAAGCTTATTACCAAACAAAAAAGCAACTATACTTACCAGATATTTGTAACATAACTTAAATATTTAACTTTTTGTTAATATTTATGGCATATATTTGGGGTTCAGAGGTCCCTAGTATAGTGGACGCTCTTGATGCTCTTTCAGAAAATATTTGACCTAAATCTAATCTGGAGTTTAGTGTTAGTCCAGGACTGTGTGGTCAGATTAAAAATACCTTTGTCCATCTGAAACAATGACTGACGTTGTGTTCGCTCTGTGTGTGTGTATGTTTGGTGTGTGGGTATGTGTTGGAGCACTGAGGTTAATCCATAGCACCATTATAATCCGAATCACACCCCAACGCCAACTTGTGTAACTTATTTTTTCCCCTTCTTGACTTAATTGTTTCCTTCAACCTTCAGTGCTTTAGCAGGCACTCCTTTTGTACATTTCCTTCAAATCTAAGTATACCTGTGTCTGTTTGAGCTTTGGTCCATGTTTGACATTTTATTTATTTTATTGTAAAAAGCAAAAAAAAACTATTTTGCTTTACTATGTTGTCTGCAGTGGTCCCATCTGTTATCCAAGCTCTCATTATTGTTTCTCTTTGCAGTGGGAATGCAGACTCTGGGGGGGCAGTACCCCATGTTCAGCACGGCTCCTACAGCCAAGCTGATGGAGGATGGGAAGATGCATGCGGTTGAGCACCTTATGAACCCTCTGGCCATGCAACACGCTGACCACAACAGCGCTAATGGCGGTGCCAGCGTCCTCCCTGCGGTATCTACCCCTCCTCCTTTCCAGGTGTGCACAATGACACTGTTACTGACTCGTAAATATGATTGGATAAAGATGTTAAATCTCCACTTTCAGCTCAGGGCATGTTACTTGATGCAGTAAACCAGGCCACATGGGTACTTCATCATAAAGTGTAGAGAACTGATTTTACACACAATAACTCATTAAGCTTAAAAGAGTACTCCATAGACTTTGCACTGTACCATTGGTGGAGTCAAAAGCCAGTATCAAAAAGTAACAAATTGGCTGCACCGGAAACAAAGATATCACTTTTGGCAATACCACGCGCCTACATTACCCACAATGCAACTTATATTTAAGCGTCAAATAACATGCCGTGGAATAAAATAATATTAGTTACGTAACACCACAGATTACATGACATGTACTGTATTTGTACTTTGAGAGCTTAATGTCTGTCTTTTTAAATGTAGAACTCACAATTGAATGCATTCATTTAATAAAGAATGTACTAAATGGTTTAGTAATCCTCTTATTCAATATAGTCGTCCTTTCCTCTTTTCTGCATTTCTCAGGGCCGTCCTATCACTCCTGTCTACGCCATGGCCCACAACGTGCAGCGCATCCCGACGGCCGGCCTGTACGGTGCCGGATACGTCCCCATCGCAAACTACGCTGCTAACTCGGCAGCTCTGGCCGCTCTGCAGAAGAACGCGGTGGCGGCCGCGGCGTACGGAGGATACGCCGGTTACGCAATGCCTCAGGCCTTCCCCGCCACAGCCTTCCAGCTGCCCCTCCATGATGTCTACCAGACATATTGAGTCGGAGGGTCAGACATATGAAACATCAAAGATACCCTGCCTGTGACTGAACCACCAACCCAACGTCTGTCCCATCACACAGACACATCTCTTGAACTCGTGAACATCAAAAAGCTCTAAAGGAATTTGAAGCATATATTTAGAAAACAGAAACAATGACATCTCATATCTGTCCTGGTCTAAGTATGTATTGGAAACAAGGCAACCATATGACTGGCTTAGTTATGCATCATTACTGACTTATAACACACATAGAGAACAGTCTAATCACTGAGGAAACCTACCTGCACCGTCCTCCCACGATAAGAATTAACTCATAAAGACAACCATCAGTATGAGTTTCTCTCTGTCTTTGACACCCGCCAAACACTGAAGGTACATTCAAGTATTTATGAAGAGAAAATTACTTTTATTCTCTGTAGGCTTCTCTTATTAATGAATGGAGTGGTCTTTGTTCTCTGAAGCAGGAAAGATAGAGCTTTACATGTTTGTTTTTTAACTGTAAAAATGTGGGGGTGAAGAGAAGGAAAAAAGTTAATTGAAAGAAAGTAAAAGTACAACAGGAACTACTGACAAGAAAGGATACCACTAAGATAACTGTTCTTGAATATAGGCCTATTAATATTCTATTTTCATTCAAATATAGTATTTTAGCCAACTCTACAAGCTGTAGGTGACGCTGTCCGTCCATGCTGGTTGAATGTGTGAGCTTCAAACATGCCTGTTTGGTACTTTTTGGTTTATTTAGTATTTTGTGTGTTTTAAATGAAGGTTTTTAAATGTTATATTTTGCCTATAGTTAGTAAGCTTGTTTTTATGTATTCTCTTTAACTTTTGGAAACTTCTCCTATCTTGGTTTGTTTGAAGAAAATGTTGCCAGTTATATAATAGTATTGTGATTCGTTGTGGAACAAATACTAGAGAAAGAAAACTGGAAAGCTTTTTCAACATGAGTAATCTATACAGTCAGCCTGATAGACAGCGACACCATGTACATGGAGAAGTTTCCCATGCTCACAAAGTTTGCTGAAAGGGGACTGAACAGATGTTAGTTTGTTTTTTTCTTTAATTTACACACATCTTTATTATTGAGTTTTTGAATTGTTTCACTTTTGAAAGCTGAACAAATATGGACAGAAATGAGAGTCCTGTGTGGACTGGAACACTCTGCTAACCAAAACAAACGTCAGGCTACATCGCTCCAGTCTTCTGATATCAGAAAGCTCCTCAGTGCCTTACATCTGTAGACGATGCCACCTTGTGCTTTCCACTGTGCCTTTAACAACAATGTGAAGCCCCTGTGGTTGGTACAAAAGAAAGGACTCACGGACTGCAGTTTTCTCCATTTATTTTTCCAATGCTTTGGTAATACTGTATTGTGGTGAAGTGTGTTTCAGTCTCTGCAGACTTCTCTCCTGTAGTCTCCTCTCTAAAGGCTCCTGCAGTAACACTCCGCATGTCCGTCTCATCTTTATTTCTTGTCCTCCAAACTGTGTTGACCTAGGTGCACTTAAACGTATTTATAAAAGGCAAGAGATTGCAACTTTCATATGAAGAGATATTAAATACTGAGCATGAAATAATGTGTAAACTGGGCTAGTTGGCGTTTCTCAATTACTGTATGTGTGACAGAGTTTTCCCTTGTGGATTAAGCGTTAAAATAACCCTAATGAATGTTTCGTAGGCACTTTTTAAACTCTGCAGTGTGTTGGAAACAAGTGTAATGTTGGACTGGGAATAACTGGAACAATACCTCACGCTGAAATATAGAAGGAGCCATGCATGTTTGTGCTACAACACACAAAGACAAAGGATGCAAGCAGCTGCTGATTATGAAGTCACACTCCACAACCTTTATATAAGAGAATGCAGAAATGTGTATGTGTAAACCAGTTTAGGTAGTTTTTAATTTTCCATTCCAAATGTTTTATTTGTTGTTTGAATTGTATGTGTTTATTTTCATCATCTCCTCATAATATTTACTATATTTTACAGCATAAACAATGTAATTACTTTTACTCTGAAGAAAGCTTGGATCATGACCAAGTTTGATGTCAAAGAGGTAAATAACGAAAATAGTATGCACGGCAAACAAAATATATTTGTCTCATCTCACTCCATCCTCTACATTTGGCTTCCCTACTCCTCTAAAACTGGATTTGACGTAGAAAACAAATTGCGGATAACTGTTATTTTCTTCTATGATGACATTAAGTCAGGATATATTTAATATATGCATTTACGTGTTTTGTCTATGAAGTGAGAAGAAAAGGTATAATATATTCTAAAGCATATTTCTTTTCTTTATTTACACATTGTTTAGGGATGTCAGAGTAACAAAAGTAGAAGAAAAAACATTTTTTGCCAAAATGTCCAATAGTTTTTTAAACCATTCAAGGTTATTGTGTTTTTGTCATTTGTAATATTCTAAATACTATTTTGTACTGGATTTGGTGTTATGAGTGAGAACACAGAGACCTTCTAGTTTAGCAACATTTGATCAGTTTCAACCAAATCTGGTCCATTGCAGTGTTACAGCCCATGGCCCTTTGAGCTGTTGGTGCATGTCAGTTTTTGCTGAACTGTTAAAGGTCTCATCATGATTTGACAGCCATCTAAACTAACAAATGTGTTAGACGGCAGGGAATTGTGTCCCTCTGGTTCTGCCTCCCACTCAAAACACCTGCTTTACTTTCTATTGCCTGCATTTCATCCACACCACAGCTGCAGGAGGAATTCTTGTGTCTGTGGCATGGACCTACACATGCCTTGTTTAACATAGGTGTTACCATTTTAACTTTTCCGATAGTGTGTGCCTTATTGCCAAGATGTGCCCTTTGCTCTACCTTTGTAGACCTTTGCAGACTGTTTTCTATCTGAAGGTTTGTTTAAAAAAAAAGCTTGTTCTGTATTGTTATATTTATAGCGATAAAGTAGATGAATAAAGCATTTTCAAAAGGATGCAATGCTGTTATTCATTTTGTTTGTCTTAAAGCTCTCCTTTTATACTATTTATAGGCATATATTATAGGTCTCAGATATATACAAATATATAAAAAACATGTCTATGAAGTGTTTTGCTCAAAATACCAAACAGATCACCCATTCTAGCCATGCCTCATACCCCTCTATTTCAGCCCTGTTAGAGAAGTGCTGATTCTGGGTCAGTAGCTACGGGGCCACGCCCCCTTTGGAGCACACATGCCGCAGAGCTACACAGAGAGAGAGAGAGAGAGAAGTAGATGCCCAGCTAAATGCTGCCGTGATTAAACGCCATATCATGTTCATGTAAACAGAGACCATATTCCTTCCAAAACACGTTGCGCATTGTTCTGATAGAGATGTTTCTGACAGGGCCGTGGGTGTAAAGCCAGCCCACATTTCCGATATTAGGTCATATCAGACGCAAATCTGGATCAGCTCCGTTGTACCCCCGTTTTTAGAGATTTGGGTACGGAGGAAAATAGAGAGGGTTTTAGGGGACACATATTTATGTATAAAAGACATAAAAAAAGTGCATTTTGCATAATAGGAGACCTTTAAGTTATATTCCGCTGAATCTGACTAAACCATGTCAGCCAGTTTAGTTTTAGATTAAAGCGCATAACTACAAAGTGCTAAAAGGGTCAGAAGTTTTTTGAAAGGTCCAGAGGCAGAGGACTTTGACTCCGACCTCTGTCAATGGAAACCCATCCCTGACCTTGTACAACAGCTATATTAAGCAATGTGTCATGGTGGAGAGCGGAGAGACACCACAGTGTTTGGAGATTGTTTCATAAACGTTTCTGTGGTGGGTCAACTTTACTCTAGAAACATGGTGTACCCAAGCAAGGAGTTCAGGGAGGCCTTTAAGGACCCAAGTAGCCTTCATCCCGCAGTGTGTAGAAGTGTAGTCTCAGGTACATGGTACATTTCAACCAACTGGTTTACCATTACAATGTGGCGAAAGGTCACAGGGGGAAGAACTGAATTGTTTTATTTTTAATAGAGTAGCAATAACAATAGGATACCAAGAAACAGAACCCTTCTCGAGTGAAATCATGTCATTTATACACATGAGCTCTATTCTTAGTGCATGTGCTCAGCTCATCAGCTGATCTTGTGTACTTACAAAGGGTAATCATCAAAGAATAGGAAAAGGCTTATTTCTTGGCAAATCAATCAGGGTTAATGAAAAAGTTTTCAGTAGCAGCACATGCATGGTGCATTTCCCCCTAATTGATAGAGCATTGTTGAATTTGAATCCAAAATAAATATTGGTGTCAATATTGATACTACTGATCCTTGTATTAAATAGTATTGTGTGAAAACCTAACATTGTAGTTTTGCACAGCGCACAGCTGTGTTTCCGTATTCAGTGTTGTATAACAACTTTACAGACATGGGGCAATATTGAGTTTATGTCCCAGGAATATAATCTCCAAAATACTGTTTGAATAACCCAATCCACAACTACTTTATCACACAAGCAGATAGCAGGGGATTTTTAAACCAAGTTAATGAGAATCTATGCAGAAAGAGTGGAGTTATAGCCTACATTGTGTTACATGCGATACAATATTGCCATCTGGTGGTAAATGCACCTAATCAGAAAACCTGCAGGAACTCTCCAAAGCACAGACAGAGCAGGTTATCACCGGCAGCCATGTTATCTCCACTGTAACAGTAATAAATGCAGATATAGTATAAAACAAACCACATTTACTCTTTCTTATAAAATGAGTTCTTCACATGCAAGAAGAAGATATTATCATACAGTCATGTGTTGAGTGAAATAGTAAACACATGTATTTAGCCAGGAACAGAAACACACTGTGTACTGGGAAATCAAATCAAATAGTAATTGTTTTATGTGGAATAATAAGCAGGGAAAGTATTCTGCATGCATGGAACTTTATTTAAAAAACAAATACATTATTGGAATATTAATATTACTTATTGTTTTATTTGTAGTGTGACATGTTATTGATTACTCTACACATTATGTTATATTCATATAGTTGTATAGAAAGAAAGGCATGACAAAAATATAGAAATACACCATAAAGTGTGTTGAATTACTTTGCACTACAGTTCCCATGATGCCCGGCAGCCGTTCGCGTTCGCGATACTTTTGCACGGCTGCCGTTGTCTTAGCAGATCTACAAACATCGCAGCTGGGTTGACTCGATCTCTAGAAGTAACACAGGGAAATCCCGATGATTTGTAGAGCTGCTGAAATGCGTTGCCGTTCCTGAACGTAACCTCAGTTTATATTTGGCTTAAAGGAGACGCAACAAAGCGCACAAAATGGCTGTGCTCTAGGCCCGGGCGAATAAGTAGGTTTACTATAGCTTTAAGAACGCGAAAATAGTGTCTGCTTCTTTAAAATGTATCCGTTTATTGCGGAATAGATAATTAAGAAAAGTTTTCTATTTCTAATCAATAAATATATGCATTTAATTTGCGAGGAAAATGCCCCACTGTAGGATAAAGGCCTCTTGCAATCAACCCGTCTTTAGAACAGATGTTGTCCTTTTTTCCTCAAATTGCTTGTAAACCGGCTTGATTGTAAGCTGAATTGAAGAAGCCTGAAGTGTTTTCATGGAGATGGAACCGGGGATAGACAGAACCGGTAACGTAAATAAAGGTAAAGAGTCGACGGAGGACAGGGCCGCAGAAGAGACCCCAGCCACCAGTAGAAACGTCACCCCGCGGAGGGGGCTCAGAGAGCGGGGAGCGGGCCGCCCGAGGTCCGGCGTCTCTGCTTCAGTGACGGACGTTAACGGAGCAGCGTCGATCCCGCAGAGCTCAGGGAGAGTTTTAAGAGACCGGTCAACGAGGGCAGTCCCGGCCTGGCTGAAGGATAACAAGAGCGAGGACGAGGAAGACGAACCGAGCCCGGACACCGGTGCTAATAAGCGGAGGAAAGTTTCCAACCCGAGGCGGAAGAAACAGTCTGAATCTGCGGGTTTGGCTGAGGCTGGAGGGGATGTCGCAGGTGACAGCCTTCAAGGGACAGAGTACGTTTTTAATTCAACAGTCTTACTTAATATACAACCACATTTGTTTATCATGAACATGTCTAGACTTAAACGTATGTGTTTATGTCTGGTGGGTGAGTTCCTGTCAAAAAGCACGCCTTCAGCCTTGCTCGTCCCCTTTCGGCAGCTCTGCATGGGGAGGGTAGAGGGAAACTTACCTGGCTTTATAAATGTTTACATTTAATATGCTATTACTTTTACATGCATTGTTGCATTAGAGATGGGATGAAGGACTGTCATTAGCTCAGCAGTTAGAGAATATTTCCAATCCAATGTGTTTTTCTTATTTTCTTGCAGCTCAGAGGAACCAAAGAAACCTGCCACAGATGCTCAAGGTAACTGGACAAATGTTGGGGATAAAAAACAATTTGTCACGTTTCTTGCTATACCTACACTTAAGTTAAATCTGAGCTTCTGCAAGTGGATTTAGAACTGGGCTTTTCTAGTGTGTCATGTCATGTCTGCATAATGCTTGCACCACACATTATGGCATATGGTATGTTTCATGGCATGTTTTTGCTTCCTCATTCCAGCTCTATCCTCCAGACGCCCCCCAGCCTCGAGCCGTGCCAAGCCCCCGTCTGGCAGAGCTGTGCGCACCTCTGCCAAGCCTGTTTGTAAGACCGAACCTGGGATGGAGAACCCAGCTGGTGAGAAACCTGTTGACTGTGGCATACAATGGTTCAACATGTGGGCTTATAATTCACAAATCAGATTATGCAGATGCAGAGCACTAAAGCATCATGCTCACTACCCTGGGTAATATTTATTTCATAGAAAACCCTCATTGACATCCTATTTAACTGAAATGTGAGGGGTAGTGTTTGTAGATTTTCAGTGTGACTAAAGGGATCAGTGCCACCTTTTTGAGGCAAACATCTGGGTGCAATCCTTTCCACTTCCATGAACTTGGTTTAGTGATGGCTGTACAAAAGTATGCTTTTATGCCTCTGAAATAAATGATGTCTTTCTTTGTCATGCAGCAATGGAAGGAGAGATAAGGAATAAAGACAAGTGTGAAACGTGAGTATATTTTTGTCCCTTTTCATTAATAAAATGAACATTGTTAGTGTTAAAAGGTTTGACTCTGAGCATGAATTCTAATCTTTTACTAAATGTACATACATATACATAATATGAAATACACAAATGACCTGATATTCATAACAATCACTTGATCAACATTGTTGTAATCGACTTATTTATTGCAGTTGAAGGCAACAGATTTATCAAGATAAGATGACATCTATATTGATCCCAAACCATGGACATATACACATTACAGCAGCTTAAGAGTTAACCAAGCAAAGGGATGCGTGATTAAACAATAAATAGAGAAGAAACCAGATCAAATGAAAAGCGTATGACTTGTTATGACTTGTTTTTAGGCACTGTAGGAAAGTTTGCATTTTGTTATGCAGGTGAACTGAGCCTTTAAAGATGAGATTATGTAGGATTTGATCAACAGTCGTAAATTTAACACACTAACAGTTAAGAGATGTATTAACAAACTGTAACAGATACAATTATATATTTATTGGTCTTACTTACTTACTAGAATTGTTTTTGTAATCATACATGTATAAGCTTTAACAGCGGAGAGTCTGCATTACATATATCATGATCCTATTTGTGTTGTGTTTGTGTATATTTATGGCCCACTGAGCATACTGTACTGTCTTGTGTGTTGCTAAAGTGAGAGAGGTGCTGTGTTTTGATGACTGCTCTGTTTTGCACTTACGCTGTCTCAGTAAAAATAAGGATGAGGGAAGCGAGGATGTTGTTCTACCAGTCTTGGATGATGAAGACCCTACATTTCTGGACGACCCAGATGACCTTGGCTATCAACCACAGAGTCAAAGGTACGCTTACGTCAAACACATTCATTTGACCTGGTGGGGACATATTTTTCTAATGACTTGTTTCCATACAGTGGTGCAGAGGAAGCAGAGGGTCTCAGCAGTGATGAAGAACTTCCTTATACAGATGACTTAAATGACCAGAGTTACGACCCGAAGGAGGAAAGGTGTGTGTTATCTTTGTGTGACAAATTAGACAAAAACAGGCCCCATATTTTCGTTTATTGACTGGACTTTCCTCTTTCCTGTTCTAAGGGATGTCCCTAAACCAAAGCGCAGAGCTCCTCCTAGACAGAAGGAGAAGAAAGAGAAAGACAAGGCACCTAAAAAAGAGTCCGAGGTTGCTGAGATAAAAATAGAAGGTTCGGACAACTTGGAGAGTTTCGAAGAGGAAGTAAAGCTAGAGGAAGAAGTACTGGAGGACCCGGATGGACCCAGGAAGTAAGCACAAGTTATTAATAGAACAGATTGTCTGGAACTTTAACCATATCTACGTTTAATTGTGCATCTAAAGTCTGAATGTAATGTAAGGTTTTCTATTGCTACACAATTTTGAATTTTCTTTTCCTTTAGGAGAGGCAGACGGAAAAAAGACGATAAAACCCCACGGCTGCCAAAGAGAAGGTAAAGTCTGTTTCAAAGCATCGTAATCTGGACTCTGTTATATTAAAATTGAAGGGACTGCCTGTCATAATTTTATCCAGAAATAAAGCATATCGTAGTGATTGATGAATGACATAGTGAGGAAGACATTTTGGATGTCTGAGATGTCAATAAGGATTTAAAGATCCATTTAATGTTTGGTTTTAGCTGTGACATCGCAATGACATGTGCTTCACCCCCACAGGAAGAAGCCCCCGGTGCAGTACGTGCGCTGTGAGATGGAGGGGTGTGGGACTGTCCTGGCTCATCCTCGCTACCTACAGGTCTGTCTCTCAACAACACATTCATACAGAAGCTTATTCAAAAACAGTTTAACAAAAAACCTGCTTCTAGTGTTTCTGAACGCAATAAGGTAGAGTCCATGCACATTAAGTACACAGAAACGGTACTATTTCAATTGCCTCAACACAAAATAACATGGATTCACAACATCTAGAGAAACCTACCAGAAAGGGGGATGGGAATGAGCATCTGGCAACCAAACTCAATTGTGGAACTACTCAAACTATTTAATTGCCTTAAATAGGGGTTAGAGCTTTCACATACAGTTATTTATAATATATACTTATTTGTTTGTATTATTAAGGGTTGAGGTCACTAAAATGTCTGAAAATAAATTAAATGTCCATCCCAGTTGGACAGTTGTTAGATTTAAATATATTTTTGGTTAATTAATTATTTATATATTATATGTTATACTTCTCTGGGAAAGTCTTTACTTAAAGTGGACCTATCATGCTATATTTAAATAATATATTGTAGGGCCATACCTATATAAAACATGTCTGTGAAGTTTCTTTTTCAAAATACCAAACAGATCATGCATTTTAGCCATGCCTCATTTAGCTCTATTTGCTCTATTCCAGCCCTGTCTTCACAAGGGCTGATTCTGTGACAAATGAGCTGCAGCTGACCACGCCCCCCTGAAAAGGAGGGGGGCGAGGCACGAGCGTCATGTTACCATGCTGTTACCATGCCACGGCAACCTGTCATTCCCCTGATAGGTGGAGAGTTGCCCATATAGGCGGAGCTCCCTGTTTCTGACGTCAGCACAATTTCAAATCTGTATCAGATCCGTTGCAGCCCCGTTTTTAGAGATCAGGTATGGAGGAAAAGAGAGAGGGTTGTGTTTTCTGACACTTTTGGTGAGATCCCTGACGCATCGGGGACCCATATTCATGTATAAAAGACGTACAAAAGTGCATTTTGCATGATAGGTCCCCTTTAATTTTTTTTATTTGAGATTAGAGAATAGAAGATCCAATTATCAATTATTAAATAATGCACAACATATTCTGATTCTACCAATAAATAAATAAATACAAATATCTGATTATTCAGCCATACCTGCTGTTGTAGATAACTTAAAGCATTTTTGTTGTTCTGTTTTCTTTCTGCTCACCGCTCCAACCTCCTGTTTATTAATATAAATGTTTCTGAACACCAGCACCATATAAAGTACCAGCACTTGCTCAAGAAGAAATACGTCTGTCCTCACCCTTCTTGTGGAAGGCTTTTCCGACTCCAGAAGCAGCTGCTGCGTCACGCAAAGCACCACACAGGTACATCTACACTATAAACATAAAACTTGCATTGGGTTCTATTTATAATTGATAGTGAAAGTCTATGGAGAACACATCTATATTTGATTGTTTTGTTGTTCTAGATCAGAGGGACTACATCTGTGAGTTCTGTGCTCGTGCCTTCAAGAGCTCCCACAACCTGGCTGTGCATCGCATGATCCACACAGGAGAGAAGCCGCTGCAGTGAGTGCTCTGTTCACAATTATTACTTGTTTGCTTTCCCAGGATTTCTCCATTATCAGTTAAGTAAATTCAATTGTCCCTCACAGGTGTGAAATCTGTGGCTTCACGTGTCGCCAGAAGGCCTCTCTGAACTGGCACATGAAGAAGCACGATGCCGATGCCACCTATCAGTTCGCCTGCTCGATTTGCGGCAAGAAGTTTGAGAAGAAGGACTGTGTGGTGGCCCATAAGGCGAAGAGTCACCCCGAGGTGCTAATAGCTGAGGCTCTTGCAGCCAATGCGGGTGCCCTCATAACAACCCCGGCCTCCATGCTGGAGCTGCCAGGGCCCCAGCATGCAGAGGTCAGCAGCCGGGATGTGAGCCAGCTGGTACAGGATGTGCAGGCGGATCATCTGAGTCACGAAGGGCACATGGCTCAAGTGTCCCAGATGACCCAACAGGTGAGTCACCAGGTGGTTTTACTGGGACAAGACCAGAGCCTCCACACCATGCAGGTGCCAGTGACCATCGCCCTGTCCTCCACCGACCCCCCGTCGCCAGCTGACAACCAGCAGCAAACTCACCTGCAGCTCCAGATGCCCGTCCAGTTTGTGCAGGCTCAGCAGTCCCAGCAGCCCCAGATCCAACAGCTGACCCTCCACTCGGGCTCCGTGGTGACCCAGCACCAGCCCCAGCTGCACCCTCTTCAGATGTACTCACCCCAGCAGCAGAGCCAGACACAAATCCTCCAAATGACCTTCCAGCCGGTTGGCCAGTCACAGACACACATTCAGCAGATCCCCATTCTAGCATCCTCCCAACAGCTTCAGACCCTGAGCCCCCCCCTCATGTCCCAATCCCAGTCCCAGGACACAGCCGCAACCAACGGGGACAGCTTTATTCTGGACAATGCGGTGCTCTCGTCCTCATCTCCGCAAGCAGGCTCCCTTGTGCAGACGGGGGTCATCGGGGAGGACAGTGTGGTCTGGGGGCAGACGGGGGAGATCCAACAGATCACCATGTAAAACAATAGTGCACAGAAAACAGAGGCAGACTGTCACCAGTGACCTGATACACTGTATTGCAATGTTTAAGGTAAATGTAGGATCACCAATATATTATGGACTGTTCACTTATAGTCATATTTGGTAGCTTTTTAGAATAACTGTTTCAGGGAAAAGATATGTTTGTGTCTGTATGTGTGAGTTGTTGCCTTTGTACATAAGTCCTGTCAACTGAACTAGCCTTTTATGCGAGTGTGTGTAATGATGCCGAGGTTATGTTGCAAAGCCGTTGCTATTATGCAATAATATAGCATACCCCTTAGTAACTTAGAGCACACAACTAGTGTGTGAGTGATTACACTATTTATATTATGAATTAACATAAAACACACATTAGAAGCTATAAACAGACCCCAGTATGTGTGGGGTGAGAAAACCTTTCAAATGAATAGGCAGCTATTTTTTTCATTTTTCACTGTAAAGCCTTTATTTGGCGAGGTTGAACGAAAAAATAACAAAACTATCGGACAAAGATAAACATTTCAAAACCTGAAAAGGAATGGACACAATATGTTTTACAGTCTTGATAACAGTCACAAAATATGCATCATTTAGCTTTATGGCAGTGTCATTAAACCCGTTTCACTGGCAGCTGTTTAAGCTTGGCTGTAGACATTGAAGGAATAATAACCCATATTATATGTATGTACTACTCGCATATAGTAAGCCAGAGGGTGACCTTGCATATTGTAACCCTCACATGAAATAACAGCAAGCATAGTCACTGAATTAGACAATTAAAAATATGTTTTTGTAAATGACATTTTCAAGTGTAATGTTATTAAAAAAAAACAAGGCTATGTAGAAACCTTGGAGCATATGTTCATACTAAATCTGCCCCTCTCTGCTGAGTGATATAGGATGTGTGGTAGAGCAAACAATGTTCATTTATAAGATGTAAATAAATGTCTTAACATTTATCCAAAGTGTATTCACTGAGAGTTTAAGAACATAATTAAGGAGCCCTGCATTTAAATGTTAGATCAGTAAAAGTACAAAATGATAAGCAATAAAATATACTTTAAGAACCAAAAGGACAAGTACTCTGAAGGCCCAATTTTATAACAACATATGTAATATTACTGGTATACAACTATTGATACATTTTGTGTTCACCACTTTGATGTTGCAGCTAATTATTTCAATTATTTATTTGTGGACTTTATCATTTGTAAATATGCAAGTAGTAACCACCACTGAATGTAAATGCATGCCTGAGTCATTAATGGGTCCTAGAAATAGATAGTACACAATTCCTACAACATATACACACTTAGAAAATATATTTAATCCCAGTAGTATTGCTTTTATGTCAGCCCATCTCTGAAAACCTCCATCACGACATATGGAGCTGCTCTTTGTTCCTCTGTATGGCGTACTGCTTCATAGCTCGTTTAGGAGGAATCAAGGTGTTGCTCAGTCCAACCCTCCTCTTCTTCCCCTGCTGGCCTGCTGACTCTTCCTCTTTTGTCTCCTTCTGGGATCCTGAGCCACTTGCGAGGGCCTCTTTTTGATCCGGCGTCTCTTCACTCACAGGTAAATCAGTGAGAGACTGGAGGTCACTGTCATGAGCAAACTTGCATTTGATCCCAAACCGGCACCTTCCATTTTTCCTGTATGCCACACACATCCTTTTGCCTCCTATCTGGGAGGGTTTGGCCTGCATTGTGAGGGGGACATGTTTCTGCAAGGCGCTGAGTTTCTGGTCGGCCTGAGCCTTGAAAGGGTTGGTGAACACACTGCTACCAGAGCAGGAGTGCAGAGAAGGAGGAGGGAGCTTATTGGAGATGATGGAGTCCAGGGAAGAAGCAGACAGGGTGGGATGGCAGGCTGGAGGAGGTGCAGGTTTCTGGGGGTGTGGTGATGAAGAAAGATAGTCTTCCTCTGGTTCTGATTCACTGGAAGCTGAACCAGACTCCAGCATAAAGTTGCGGGCTTTTCTGCCACTGGATGCTTCATCACACAGCTTCTTTACGGACCTTCAGGATTTAAAATGTGCAGCAGAGAGACAGAGGCGTTAACAAAAAGCTAGCCTTTACAAGTGTCTGACATTATGTTTAAAGTAAGTCAACACTTACCCTACTGCACCGTTGTTTACTTCCTCCTCTCCCTCGCTGTCAGACTCCGAGGACACTCCGTAGCCAACCAGAGAGTTCATGACTTAACGATCAACCGAGGCTAAGCTAGCTAGCTGGATAGCTTGGTCTCAAAATGTAAGCACGCTAATACTGTTGCTGGATAGCTAGAATCTCACAATAAATGGCTGAATCAACCAAAAACTCTACAGCGTGGAAATAGTTTATCATTCCTTTTTTCTCTTTATATTAAAGATGCAGTTTCAGGGTCTGACGTTAGCTGCGGTCATTTAGCCACTGCTCGGTGTTTACATTCCGGCTGCCTACACTGACACCTCTGCGCAGGCGCGGTACTGCATATACAAATCCATTATTAATTTATTATTAATAAATCAGTGTATTGACAAAGTCCAGGTTGAGATTTCCCCAGAGAGTTATGTTGCCAGTGTTTTTTATGTTTCTTTATTTCAATGTACATGTAAAGCTATTGCAGGCCTCAGTCTTATCTTTGCTGTATTGCCCTGCATTTAACTTCATACACTTTGTTAGAAAAAGAGGTGGGGACAATTTCTTCCGATTTAACCCTCCTGTTGTGTTCGGGTCAAATCTGACCGATTTACTACTTTCATCAATCATTTCTTTTTTATTGCATTAAGGCTCTATCCTTCACAGTATACATTTGAAAATATACAATTGCTGACCACCACTTTCATTGCATTTTGGATGATCTAGTCAACTTTGAAACTGTGGAGCCTATTTTTATATAATATTATAAGACTGATTCTTATTATTACATTATTTGCTTATTGTGCTCATGAGATGTTTCTATGACTATGGAATACATAGACAAAATCACCAATCCCAAGTTTTGATGGGTTGGATAGGAACGAAGGGAAAAGTCATAGCAAGAAAGTTTTAGCTTGCAATAGAAAGAAGCAAGGCCAGGTGCAGACACTGAAGACAAAAGGTTATTCAGAGCAGGACATCGCTTTGGACCTTGATATGAGGGTGAGCTCCGCGTCCACGCAGGAATCAAATTTGAACGCGAAAACCAAAGTAAGGGGGCAAAGTAAGGGGGGGGGGGGGGAACGAGCGAACACAACAGGAGGGTTAACATCAGCATAGCATGAGACACAAGTTGTCCGTCCATTGGGTTTTGAACCTCAAACACCTGCATGAAAAAACAATATTTAGACCTCTGGACTACAAATATGTTTTAAACATTGAAAGCCCAACTATTAACGAAATGTAATATGAACAAAAAAGTTTTACTAAAACTGATAAAAATAAGAATTAAATAAATTGTTTTTTATATTTTTACATTTTTTATATAAAACATATTATAGATATTAGATAGATATATAGAAAAAACATTGAATTAAAAAAAATTGCAAAAAAAAAAATGTAAATAACAATTACGATATAATAACATAACAACCTTTTTTTGTGAATGGGGACAACTATGTTCTGAGTGCTGCTCTCAAAAAGAAACACACAAAGGTACAGGACTTTTTATGTTTTCATTTCCTTTATTATATTTGTGAGTTTTCATGGGAAGACCGACGGACGCTGAGGTCGACGAGATGGCCTATCGAGTTGTTTGCGTGGTGAGCACACGTCCTTTCGTTGTCCAGGGATAATTAGTGCGGGTGCATGCGGACGGAGTAAGGCCAGGTGGCAGTGCGAGTTAGCCTGAGGGCGAGTCACGGCGCAAGTATTCTTAGTCTCAGTTAGTGTCGAGGAGAATTCAAAGCCATTTTGCTCAAAAGGGTCGAAACATACGAGTGACAAACAATGAACACAATTGTCGTCTATCGCCGGGTTTGAGAGGCGGGAAAGGGCCCTTGGACTACGGGTCCGTCCTCCTCCTTAAATTGCCCTGCTCGCCCCGCCTCTCGGCGCCCTCCTCCCCCCCCCCCCCAATTCGGTAAATTCTTCCTTCCTAGTGAATAACGACCCTGGTAGAGAAACATAGGCAATACCCTTTTTTCATAATGTTCTAGTGTTATTCAGGATTGGATGGATTATAGATCTTTATTGCAACGAAGGTAAATAAAAAATAAAAGCTTCTTCAGGATATAGTGGAACTCATTCTATGTGACAAAACGCCAACACACACGAGAGTCAAATATTTTATACTAAGACCATTTGAGAATTGTGTTTCAGCATATGCGGTGTTGCATTGTTCACATAAGACGTTTTCCCTGGACGTGTAGTTGAAGCGCATGCTGATTCTGTTTATTCAACCATAAATAGATACATGATAGTCATAAAAAAGTAGAGTTCCATCTAGGCCTTATGACCAAGTTGGTTGAACCAGAACATGTAGCATAAGTGAAACAAACATAAATTTTTTCGAAGTCGATTTACATTATTGATCCAGATGAATTATTTACATATGAAGACAAACAAGAAATCGTAAATACTCAGATATTGTATATGATGCTTATTAGCATTAGTAAAAATCCTTAATATAAACCTACAATGTAGGCGACGAAACGTTACAAACGTTATGACAGTGCGGTAAAAATCCATTAAGTTGACCTTTGATTATGTTATAAACTATTGTACTTTGTACAATAACAAGTGAATAATTCCCAATAACAATTTCGAGAAAAGAGTAACTTGGGTCATACCTCTTTCTTGACAACTTACAGTATTATACCGGACAAACTGAGAAAAGTGGTTGTCCCCCCACACAAGTTTACTTCGGAGTACTCTACTTGGGGAAAACGCTTTGAAGTAGAGCGGTATCCTGTGAGTCTTAGAGAG